CGCCGTCGGGAGGGGGGCGGGGGGCGCGCGGAGGCCAGGACCGTCCCCGCCAAATCCCCCGCCGAAAGGACCTTCCGGGCGATCGCGGAGTCCGCCTCGGGGCGGACCGCCGGCGCCAACAGCGCCGTGGCGCCGGGGCCTTCGCCGAGAAATCGGGAATGCGGGCGATCCCGGTGCGGGAGCAGGGCCAAGGGCGTTCGCTCCACGCTGCCGTAGTGGAGGGCCGTCAGGTCCCTCTCCAGGGCCTCGGGGGTCGGCCATAGCTTTTGCTGATAGCGGTAATAATTCCCCAGGCCATTACGGCGAAGCGTCTTGACGAGCTTGTGATCCTCGTAGCGGTCTAAAATGCTGCGCAAACCGGTGAAGCGGTTGGATTGCACGACACCGCGCTGGGCAACTCGGTAGGGGTGATAAAACGAATCGTTAAGTCGGCATCCACTCCATCTGAACGCGTGAAGATTTGGCGGTTGCTTCATGAAAAAAGCTAAAAGATAATTAAAAAAAGGAAATATAGTTGAATAGACATATACAAATACATATGCAATTCCTGAAAAAATAAATAAATCAATTGACGGGTTCTCTTTACGAAGGAATTTATCGAAACCTTTTGTATTTACACTCCCATGAAAGTTATTGACAATCGAACTGATGAGGAGCAAGTGTTGAATATCACTCCCGTTCAGATTTCAATATCCTTTATTTCGATTGTTATTATTAGTATTTTGTAACCCATCATATAATTCTAAGCACATAACTAAGTTCGCTTATAGTACTTTACGTTCACATTTAAAAAAAATTGTAAAAGAAAATAAAAAATGCTAAGTAGCAAGTAACGACTAAGAAGACACTTTTTTTTTAAAGTTATTCGGCATTTCTTACCTACAAAATCATGTAGAAAAAAGCTCTAATCAACCAACTCTTATCTAATCCTACATGTAATATTGCACGAGAGTTTACCTTATTCTCGATGCGCCATCATTCAACTTTTTAAAATGCTTCCATCAGAGCACTATATAAGCAGCAATATTTAACCTAACAGTTGCGTTTAAGAAATTGCCAGTGTACCAATTCATTTAAAAAACGAATCAGTATAATTAAAAGTCATTTGTAAAAATAGAATAAAAATTATAGATTGATTATTAGAAATTACTCGTTTATAGCGGAGATAAATGGTTTAAATACTTTTTCTGTGTGTGTAGGTAATAGGGTCTAAACTTATTTATCAATCTAATTTTATCCAACAAGAATGCACCTCAGCTCAACCAACAACTCAGGAAAGTAATATTTATTCAGGTGATTCCCTGTGATTTTGGGGTTGCGGTTTTGATTATTCTCAAACATTATTCCTTTTTAGTAGATTCACTCGTTCGATAAATTTGGCCTCATCAATATATAGAAGTTGAGCGGCTTCCTCGTTTAGCACATCGTAGCTTTTGTAATTCAAAAAAAGTGCCGTCACGAGGGTGTTCAACATATTTACGGGTGTTTTGGTCGGCTTCCAGTCAAATATCTTCAAAAGACCCTCACAAATACTTCCTTCGACGGAAACCATCGGATTAAAGATTGGGGTGAGCAGTTGAATCGAGGGCGGCTCCATAGGGTAATGCACCGAGTGTAGATTCAACAAGAGCTTGTAGGAGACTCCAGCATAAATGCTTTCGGCGGGAGGGTTCACCACCACCATCCATTCGAACAAATTTTCACCGCGAAGGGCAACCGAAACGAGGAATGGAGCCTCAGCGGAGCCACACACATTCGAGAGAAGATTAAAATCTCTCGATGCACGTTTTACAGATAGATTAGACATCGAAGCAAAATAGATTGAATTGCGGTTAATTATTTTCCTCTGATATATAGTAAAGCGCGAAGGACATGAATACTATAAATTCTGAATTATAAAGGTTAAAAAATAGTAAATAATAATAATAGCAATCATAACAATTTGGTCCACCATCAATGATGAGAGAAAACTTTCCACATTTGAAAGACTAAAGCTTGCCATCCATTGGCAGCTAAATGAAATAACTTTCATTTTTCTTTGGAAAAAATTGTTCCACATATTAGCAACCGTAATGGTGTAAGTAAGTTAATTTGATAAGGTATAACATTATTTTGATGGGAAGAGTAATTATATACAAAACTATCCGGCGCATGAAATATGGATGCATAGTTTTAATGAGTACATCATATATCTTCCCAAGACACGTTTCTATTGATCATCATGTGTATGCCAAAATGTTGAAAATAATGTACAAATCCCACTGAAAAGATACAATTACAAATATAAAAAAGAATGTACCTTTTATATTTGAAGGTCAGCCTTCGAAAGGTACATATAGGTTCAAAAAGCAAGCTAAGGTAGGGGAAACAAAATTTACTTGCCTTCTCTTTTAAACGCTTAGAGATTATAATTATACTCTAGCCTTATCCAACAATAAAGAAAAGGATGAGTTATATATCTATATATGTATATATATATATATATATATATAAATAGATAGACAGATATAGATATAGATATCTGTATTTTTAAAATGTTGGGAACATTGCACAGCACTACTTTCACTCTTTTTGCTCAAAAATGACAACCTGAAACACTTAGTTGTATTAGTGCATCCCTCAATCACTCCCGTTTTGATTCATAAATAATAAATCTTCATCATGAAAAAACAAGGAAGAAGGGAAACGAATAATCAGGCTACAAAAATGATAGCATTGCATTAAGGCATCTCAAAGAAGTTGCTATCCGGGTAAATTTCCATAACGTTACGAGCATGGATATTGATGTGTTGTTGCCTTTGGAATAACTCATACGCCGCATCATAGATCTTCAGCTCCCCGTTTGTGGATTCATTTAGCTCTGCAAGAATAGGCGGCAGTTCACCCTTCTCAAGGTCCACAATAACGTTGTTGTTATACAATGTTACAACATCCATCAGCTTCGTATAGTCATTAAAATTCTTTGAAAAGAGTTTAAACGAGTTCAACTGAACGAATATAGGTACGCCACGGCCGCTTTCGAATTTTCGCAGCAACCCGCGCGGAACTGCTACCTGGGGCTCCACGGTAATCCCCATAAAAATTATTTTATACGGCACTGGCAGCGGTGATTCGCGTTTTCGGGTAGGAATAAAATAAACCTCCGGCTGGCCCTCTCCTAAGTAACCAGGCCCCTTTTCATACAACATTATATGCGCATTGCGTACCATGTCCACCACCTGAGATATAAAAGGAGCCCACATCATCGTTCCGTCATAAACGACATTACGACCTTGATTAAGTGCCTCCACCATTACTTTTTCCGCAATCCACGTGCTCCGGAGATGCTCCTCGGAGGTTGTAAAGGTGAGGTTCGAATCCGAGGATTTGAAATCATCCGCGTTAATGAGTTCGGTATCGCCTTTGTGTTTTTCCCACCACGAGGTCTTGACTAGCGCCATCGCAATGGTCGACTTCCCCGCCGCCATCCCCCCCCCGAAGAAGATAAACTGCGGGGGCTCCTCACCTCCGCCTAAGCGCCCCCCATTCTCCCGGGCCACTCCCATCGCTGGAGGGACAGGAAAGGGAGGGGTGGTGGTGGTGGTGGTGGTAGTCCGCCGTTTGCGCTCCCCCCCGGGGTTGCCCTGCATGCGGCGCAGGATCATCAGGCTGGAGTGGGGCTCCTGGGCCTTGTCGAACTTCTGGTCCTCCCGCAGGGTCACCACCTCCGTGACGAGGGCGCCCGTGCGGAGCAGGGCGGGCTCGCAGGCCCCCCGCGCCCGGACCCACTGCGCCAGCTCCCCCACCCTCAGCACGCCGTCCTTTGGGTACTTCACGTGGGCCTGGGCGAGGGCCGGGGGGCCCTCCTCCCCTCCCTTTTTTTCCCCGGGAAGGGGGCCCTGGGCCGCGGCCGGGGGGACGAAGGGGAAGAAGCCGTTCGGCGCGTCCAGGCCGTAGAGGACCTTCGTCGGGGACTCCCGCAGCAGCCGCATCGTGGACGGGATCGGGAGGATCGACGCCGTCTCGGAGGGGTACGCGGTGAGGTTGGACAGGGAGGAATAGCGCCGGAGGAGCCCGTGCGAGAGGGCCTCCAGGGGGCGTGGCGGATGGGGGTGGGGGGTGGTGCAGGGGTGAAGGGACTCGTCGCTGTTTAGCAGCCCATCCAAGGACTCGTTGGTGTACACGGAGGAAGAGCAAGGCTGCAGGGAACGGCAGCCGAGGTCCGCGCTAAGCGGACAGGTCGGTGATCCAACGGGTTCATCCCGCCGCATCCTCGAGGTGATATCGCCCTGAGGCGAGGTGTTGGGGTTTTCACAAAGGCCATTCCATTCGTGAGCGCTTTGCGGGATGTAAACAATCGTTGGAAACCAGTGAACGTCAAAAAGATTCGCTAATTCGGGCTCCGCTACGGAATAGACAACATACATCGCAGGCATCGGGTCCACCGTCTTCTGACATGCGATCGTTGAAAGTATCCCCAGTGCCGCATTACTCCGCGCTAAATGCTTTGCGTGGAAGAGAATCAAAAGTCCTGTATGGTTCGACTGAAGACATTTTTCAAGATTATTTAGCGTTAAAAACGTTAATCGACCTTGTTTCGGTATTCCGTTTTGCCTTGGCTGCGGTAAATTATCCAAATAGAAATTGTCTGTTGGCAAACTCCTATTATACTGTTTTTCATCCCCTTTAAGGGTGCACGATGGATATATTGGACTGGTGTTAGGATTATCGATATTATCACTTTTTCTAGGCAGAATCAGAGCTTCTAATGAGATGTTATCACCATCTAGATTAGCCGCTACCTCAGATCGGGTGTGCCTGCTTGGGTTTACTTTTAGGTTCTTGCCTTTCAGTTCAGGGGAACTAGAGCTATTATCTGACCACTGCGTTCTACTATTAATATTATTATCTTTTTCTTTATCCTCCTTTTCCTCTTCGCCTTCCCATAAATCATTAGACGTTGAGAGGGACACCGCATCTAATTGAAAATCTTTTATGTACAAAGGCAGGAGGTAGGAGGATTGCTCCTCATCATCCACCCCATCTTCGGCAGCTGTGGGGGTGCAAATCGGAAAGATCGTATGCCGTAGCGCGATCTCGTACTCTTTATTATTTTGCACGATATAGTCCGCACAATTCCAGTTCCATGAAAAGTACATATACGCAAGGGAGTTCAAGATGCTTAAAAAATAATCCACCACCTTATCGGGATTGCACACATTCATACTTGAGCAAAGTCCATCCGTGTATTCTATCAAAGAACTATCCCCTTGCCCTGGTGACGCATTGCAGGGGTTTTCTACAACCCCTTTCCTGTCGGAGACACCACTACTCGGCGGGTCCGGCTGAAATTCACATTCAAAAGTTCTTTCAGAAGATCCAATTGTCAACCCACTGCACTCCGCGCGCCGGCGAATCATCGCGATGAGCTTCTCGCGATCCCTTGCAAAGCGCGAGGCCCATCGATAACAAAGTGAGCGAAGCAGCTTCGGATCGGATCGGGTTAGAAAAAGCACGCCGCAGCACGCTGCGAGCTTGGAAACGAACATGTGTGGGGGATGATCAATAGCTCGCAGGACGTACTCTACAAAGGGCACACCAGGTGAGGGTATGGGCATCATTTGAGGGCCACTAAATCGTCGAAAGCTATTAATTTTTTCTAACATTTGAAAATTATTTCTGTTAGTATGTTTATTATTATTACTAGTATTAATAGAGGTTAGAAATAATAATAATAAAAACACTGAAGTAGTATAAGTTCATGAATAATTCAGTTGAAATTTTCTTGTTAGCTCTTGGTGGAGATTATCAGGGCATAAAATCGTTAGGATAGCTTCATGTCTCTTTCTCTCTATTTACCCTTTAACTACAGCAATAGCATACTTCCTTCTGTTATCAGTAAAATAACTGTATGATAAAAGAGTTGAAAGTATAAAGAACTAGAAGCTCTGTAGGCTTCCTTGCACGCAATTTGGGGAGGGGGAGAGGGGAGGAAGTGTTTGTAAACGACGCTTACTCTTCCATATCTTTCTCTTGAAAAGAAAAGGAAAAGGTGTGTGGAAATTTCTTCAAGAATTATATGGTTTTAGTTTCGTTTATGCGGTCAACAACATACCACAAGACCTAGTAAGAACGCACTACTAGTGTAAATATTGTAACTGCGTGAGCATAGGTGCATTTTAAACACAAACTGAATACAAGGAAATAAATTTCAACATTTTTTGACTCACGGAAAAAATAAAAATAAAGCATCAGATTCATTTTTCGACTGTTTTTGATCGTCACTTAGAAAAATAAACACGAAACGTTTAAAAATGAATACAATTATTATTATTGAATGACGTTAATTTTGGATAAGGGAATATATGTAAATGAATTGATTCAACTCCAAGCTTGAAAAAAATTAAACAATATAGCGGAGTTTCCCCTTTTACGGAATCACTCCAACTAAGCTCTGGACACCTTATTTCACCGATCCAATACAAGCAACTAAACTTCTTTTGATTGCGTCGCCAAGCTTGGATTACACCTCAGGAGAGACATATTGTTCGATTTACTCGAATTCTTCATCTTCACAGCTTCAGGGTCTGAAACTGAAATAGGTGCATTCTACATTTGCTCTTATTTACCATTACAGACTTACAGGAGAATGGAAGCCCTCTTTCGCGAGTACTTTTTTTTTTTTCAGAAGCTATAGACTTTGATAAAGGTAGCAATTACAGATATTGAGGCCAACGCCGAGAGTGATCTCTCACATAGGGGGTTGATAGAAAGGCGTGACAAGGGCCGTACTTTCGCCCTTTTATCTAGAATCGATCTTGTTATTTCTGAGCGTGATCACACGCGCTAGCTTCGTCAGTTAAAAGAATCCCTCCTACGTAAACCATCCCTCAAGGTAAACCTAGACGTTGGCATCTGACGAAGCGATGAGTTTGAAATAATAATAAAAAACACTCCAAACATCCGTAACGTTCGCGGAGAGCGCATTATAACCCCAGACTCCAGCACGCGGCACACCGTTCATTTCGCTTTTGTGAATCCTAAAGTGCGGTAGGATAAGTTGGAGGGGGTATAAATCCGCGGCGACGTCATCGTTTGGCTTTGCATGGAGCGGAGTGAAAAATTCAGAAACGGCCTCAAGGCTCGCATGCTAGCTGAAGTGCTTTGATCCACACTGATATTCATAACAGAAGACAATTTTGTGAGGTACCGAAACACGTCCTTTGGGGTGTTTTGGAAGGATCGGACCTATGGAAAAAAGAAGGGGTACTTATCACGTTGTAGCAACAGTGCCTTCTAAAAAGGACTAATCATAGTAATTTCTATAGATCATGGAAAATGGGAAAAAGCGGTGCATTTCTGTGAAACAATCCGATAGGAAACATCTTTCTCATGTTTCAACTATACGTAAAGACAATGATTTAGAACATAACGAATCAAAAAAAAGCGGCATAGACATCTAAAACGCATAAAGAAAAACTTACAATTTCCCTTCATACATCTCCCCTCCCCCTCTCCTTCCCATACAATCCATAATTTCTCCTTCTTGTAAACCCCAAACCCATCCCACACCACATCAGGGTAGAACCATCGACATACCATTGATGTTTTCGCTCCAATAACATTTGTTAAGCGAACTAAACTTAAGAGGAGTAAATTCGAACCACAAGGAATTGAAAGCTCAGTCTCAGACTCGGCTATTTATAAACGTACTCAACAAAAGCCTTTCTATACCAGAAAAGAGTTCAGAATATGAACAAATCTAATAAGAGTAAATTTTCGATCATCATTGAGAGCTCCAAACATTGATATCCCTGTTATCTATTAACACAAACAATCTCTACTGCTAGCTACATTGGTTTGGGTAAAAAAGGAGAAGTAAAGAACATTTGCACATTTATAAAATGATTATTTACAGGTACGAGAAGTATGCACTTTTGGAGGACATTATAAATATTTCAATAAATTCAGCAACTAAGCAGGCATACATTACCTTCTGTAGGCTAAAGAATTCATGTAATAAAGAGATTCGAAAGAAACTCAAATCCTTTATGATATATCAACTGCAATATCTATTTTGCATTCAATAGTGGTTAACATACATACATAAAGACTTGTCGCAAAAAAATAGGCTGAAGGATCAAGCTCAGTGACAAGATTTCCACAGCGGTGAAATAAATCACCTTGATGAGAAAGTCGCCCAAGACAATAGAAAGGAAATAGTGACTTAAATATCCTTTAATGGTTTTGAAAAAGAGAAAAAAGAAAAGTTAAAAATGAGTCTAAAAATAATGATGCTCTAAATGTTGTACTTGTTTAACTAAAACACCGCTATTATGATATGAATAGAGGACTAATTTGAGTCCCATTATTCGAGAAAGAAAGGGAAAAGGTAAAAAAATTGAGAGTGCATCTTCTCACAATACATTTATCACAGGTAAAGACCAGCTAATTTTTAAGGCTGAGGACAGATTTAAGGCACATTTGATCTTCTAATAGAAATAATTTATTTCTGCTACCATTCATCTCTATGTGTCCGAAGCATTTTTCATTCTTGGTTGTTGCTAACAGCCAGGTTCTAGTGCTTTCGAAATTAATGGATACATAGATAGCACTACATATGAGTTCAGCAGTAGTTATTGGGAACACAAAACACAAGTGACAATGTAGACACAATAAGATTTTGAACTTAATATTATTGAATTGGGTTCCTAACAATATATTTTTGTCTCTTTTTTTCCGAAACTACGAGAATTAAAACATCATTCTGCGCCAACTCACCAGGGACAGATATATATATATGTATATATGTGTGTGTGCATATCTAAACGGCGATATTCAAAATGTTATGATGAATCTTTTTGTATTTGTTTTCAAAAAAAAGGTACATTATTACAACATTGCGCAACACGTTTCACATTTTTGAATGCTAACCTTTTTTGATTTTCGACTTACAATAGAGGATACTCTTCCATTTGTTACTGAAGAATCAATACGACAGTCAGGTGTTTTATTTGATGTGCTTATGATGAAAATGGGCTCATGGGAGATATGTTCAGTTCTGGAGTGTTTCCTGGCACTGTCACTGCTGCTTACTTCCGTACGTTTCGTTTTCTTCGGATGTTCCTCGTGAGGTTTACCCATGTCTACATCTGCATTTACTAAAGTATTAGCCTGGGACGGAACCTTTTCCAGAGCCTGAGATGACGACAAAGAACCATTACCATTTCGATGATTTAAGCTAATGGATACTCCATTTTGCATAATACGATCACCTATTGAGGCATTTGGCTTTGCTACTATCGGCTTAGTAGAAGTTTCCACGTTTTTCTTTATTAATCCATTCTTCTCAGGATCCATATCCTCATTTGGCACCAACGGTGTGGAGGGTTGACCCGCCTGGAGGTATCCACCAAAGTTTAGCGTGTACGTTTCCACCCCAGAAACCAAAGACACCAGTGTCGGGGTATAGACAATCTTACTACTTGCTTCCAGCCCTAATTGCATGCAGTCGTTCAGGCCGCAGGTCAGCAATTGTCCACCCTTGCAGATAAACATACTCCCCGCCGGCCCGGCCGCGATGCCCACACATTTTTTAGGCAAAGGAATCGGAGTGAAGTGAACGGCCTCCTTCATGCCCGACCCGAGCCCGAGCTGCCCGTTATCGTTCGACCCCGCGCCGTAGACGACGCCGCTGCTCGTGAGCGCGAGCGCGTGGGTCTCCCCCGCGGCCACCTGCGTGATGAAATGGTGTAGAAGCGACTCCACCAAGTAGGGCTTTCGGTAGGTCTCCTGCTTTCGCCCATTCCCGAGCTGCCCGTTTCGGTTTCGCCCGCTGGTGTAGAGGTGGCCGTTTTGGTCAATCACGAGCAAAAACCCCATCCCGCACGACACCCGCGAGACCGGCTTTTGGGTAAAACTCATCAACCGCCGAGGCGTGCTCACCATGCGCCGGGAGGAAGTGATTTTGTACAAAATAGAGTCCGTCCCGATCATGTGGTAGTCATCGCCGTAGCCGAGGTCGAGAAAGCGAATACTGCGGGAGGGAATCACCGATCGCGTCGGCGCGCAGACCGCGGAGAGCGAGCGCACGACAAAATTCCGCGAGAGCGAGGCCAGGCGCGGCCCATGTCCCGCTATCATCACCACTTTCGTCGCGATGCAGGTCATCCCGCTCTCCGGGCCGAGTTCCGTGGGGACTGTGGAGGTGGGCCGAGAGACCCGCAGCCCGCCCGAGGCCCAGACCTCGTTGTGGTTCGTCAGAATCGCGAAAAAGCCCTCGCCGGCGATGCAGCCGCGGGCTTGGAGGGCGCCGGGGACGTGGACGCCGTGGCCGGAACCGAAGGTGATCAACTGTCGCCGGGGGCGGTCAATCACGCAGCTATTGCCCCACCCCATCGACATCGCCGGGATGCTGTAGCGAAGTTTGTAGATCGGTACCGCATAAAGCAGGATTTGCTGAAGAACGCGAATGGTAATGGAGTCCACACGGCGCGGGGGGAGGCCGTGAAGCCCCACGAATTCCTCACAGTAGCCGTTTGGGTCAATATGCACGCGATGCGAGGATTTGCGTATGCCATCCTTCGCGTTCTCCTTCTTTTGCGATGTAATGGGTGAACTTTTGAGGATCGAAAGGCGTTCCCTTCCAAAACTAGTGATATTGTGCTCCTCTTCGTCTAATGAGCCTACACAAGAATCGATACGGCATTGATGGGCATGAATAAGGTAGAGCATCCCCTTGAAAAGATCATCTCGTCCTTCTTTATTTCGTCTAATTTCCATCCAGAACTCTGCATCTGTGATCATTGTAAGGTGGAAATTCGGTGAATATGCTGATTTTAGTGCAATTTTGAGGCTTACTGCGCATATAATTATGTGACGATAAGTAATAAATATTAAAATTTAACTATATACCTCCTTTTCCAGACGCAAGCTCGGTTCGATCCACTCTCTCTAAAAAAAAAAAAGCAAAGAATAGTGAGTATATATCTATCTATCTATATTTATAGAGAGAGAGGGATATATGTATATTAATTGTAATACTTACAAAAGAAGTATAGAGAGAAAATGAGTATGGTGGAATACATCCATGCTAAAAAAAGCATAATCTAATGGTTTATTCAAACTATTGTTGATGAACAGAATAATTATCAGCATTTGATATTGATCGAAAATATTCTTGCGCGTTCAGCTTGACCTCACCTAGCGATAATTAAATACATATAAGTGTAAAAATTACATAGATATAATAGAGATATCTAAGTGCATTATTCAAAAAGGGGTCAACTTAAATTGACATAATTTTGAAAGGATTTTCTATTATATTTCAGCCTTTTCCCCCCTTATCAAAAGTTAAATGTCATAAGTCAAATAAAAGTACGCTAAAAAGGACATTAAAGCTTTTCTATCTGTGCATCATTTTCTTCAAATAATGTACATAAGTCTCCATACTGGATTGTTTTTCCTCTACTTCATGAACTTTTCAATTTATCTCTTACCACCAGAAATAAAAATCCAATTAGTGATAAATGCTACCTTCTAAGGTTCATATTTAAGATTTCTGTTCAGAATCGAAACACTTCAAACAATATCGAGCTTTTATTTATTTCCATCCATGTTGGAGATAAATAAGAAGTTTGGAATAAAGTACACGATAGAATTGTACAATTTGGTATAAGAATTACTCATTTTAAGGCCGTTAAAGGGGAAATAGATGTAGGCTATTCTCTGTCGAAGTCAACACACTATCCACAAAGCAAATAGGTCCAACGTACCTTCTCTCCCCATTTCCACCTCAACTCCTAAAAAAATAAGAAATTTCTAACGACTTAGGCTTGATGTTCCCCAGTCGAACATGCATCGGCCTTCATAGCCATCGTGAGCTCCTCCCGGACCTGATGAAGTGCTTCCCGCATCGGCAAGGCGACGTCGCCGTAGCGATCGATCGCGCGCAGCCTCGCGGCGGCGTTGGCCTGGAGCACCTCCCGCCTCTTGCTCTCTCGGCGTTGATAAGCCTGGCGACTAAATTCCAGCAGTCTGCGGTCCCGCCGAGGGTTATCCCGCATGCGAAGCCAGCTTCGAAAGGCCCGTTGGATACGAACCGCGGCGCGCTGTCGGGTGCGGTTCTCGATCGCCTCCGCCCTGCGTACCCGGCGCAGGTACTCCGCGGCGGCCTGTTGTTGGTGGACCTCGAGGGTGTTGTGGCGGATCGCGTCGACCCACTTCGCCTGCAGCCGCGCGGCG